CTGATGTCACTGGGTAAGTGGTCTCTGCAGTCCGTGTTTGTGGAAGCCTGTCATACGTGGAGCATTGAGTGGAGCACTTAAAATCCAGGAGGAAAGCCCATCAAGTATATGATGACTGGTTCATGGTGTAATGTCAGGGCTTAGAAGGTTGAGGCAGGAGAATTTCAGTAAGTTTGTAGGACTAGTCAGTGAATTCCTGGGCTACACAGGGATACCCTGTTTTTTGTTTTTTGGGTTTTGTTGCTGTTGTTGTTGTTGTTTTACGTTTTTCTGTTCCTTTAATAAAACATCATGACCAAAAGCAGCTTATGGAAGAGCTCGTTGACATAATACTAAGCAACTGTGTTTGGCTATAGTTTCATTATAGTTGGAAAGCGGCAGACATGGCGGCAGGAGCAGGAAGCTTTAGCAGCAAGCGTGAAGCCGAGTGTGAACTAGGAGAAGGGTGAAGCTTTATATTCTCAAATCCTCCCAGTGACAAACTCCTTCTGTCACGGCTGTACCTTCCCACAACCTCGCCAAGCAGTATGCCAATCAAATGTTCAAATGTCTGAAACTATGGGACATTTCTCATTCAAACCACCACAAATCTTGCTTCAAAAAAAAAAAAAAGTGTGTACTCTAGGGAACCAGATGTTTGGTTTGAGAACTCCGAACTCTTGTCAAGCAGTTCAGACCGTCTTGTGTTGGACTACTGATGACTCTGGGAGGCTCACTCTGGAGGGCTCTAGCTTGGGGAGCTGGAGGAGGTTCTCCGTTCTAGAGAGGCTGTGTGGAAGGAGAGAGAGCACAGGCACTGGACGGACCTTCCACTCTATGTAAAGTGTCAGATAGACAGAAAAGTGGCATAGTTTGGCCAGACAGGGAGGGTACTTTGCGGCATGGCCGTCCACTTCTTGACAACAAGTGATGATATACACAGGTATAGTCCAATCTCCAGTCAACCCCCTTCCTCAAAAGATGGGACAAAGTCAATGCAGGTAACTTCCTTGAGTCTTCCATTCACATCTAGAAGAGGTGACTGAATCTGTTGGGTGTCAGGAATGGTTTTATTGATTATAAGAAATTCTGGGGGGCTGGAGATATGGCTCAGTGGTTAAGAGCACTGGCTGCTCTTCCAGAGGTCCTGAGTTCAATTCCCAGCAACAACATGGTGGCTCACAACCATCTGTAATGAGGTCTGGTGCCCTCTTCTGGCCTGCAGACATTCACACAGAATATTGTATACATAATAAATAAATAAATAAAATAAAATAAAAAAAGGAAAGAAATTCTGGGGGCGAGGGAAGAAATGCTGGAACAAAGACCTTTTATTTCTCAGTCCAACACAGGTCTTGAGTGTGACAACCTGACTGATAATGTCAAATTGTCACCATGAAGCTACCATATTGAGGGCAAAGGTCTGACAACTATAGAACAGAGAGGGGGAGGAAAAGGTTAGAGTTCCACCACCACTCTGAAGATATGACCCAAGCCAAGCATCGAGTTCAGTACTTGCTAGTTCCTGATAGGTTTTCCTATTGTTTAAGCCAGGCTGTGTTGGCCTTTTTAGCTACTTGCAAATGGAAACAAACCCGTTGATTCATAGCTTCAAGCAAATTTGTCAAAACCACTGCAGAGGAATACTTTATAACAGGTGACAGGCCAGGACCTTCCTGAGCTAGGATGCTGAATTACAGATAATGTACTACATCCTAATGGAAAGAAGAGAAGATGGAGAAATTTACCCAGGCCTTCCCATTTTCTCTATAGTCTGGCTTAATCTTGCACTTACATGAAAAGGTTTGCTAGATGATCACCCCATAAACCAGGTCCCTCATTATTTTAGTCCCAATGCTTGGGAGTTGGGGCACAGGAGGCTAAGAAGTTCAAGATAACCTTCCTGACAGTTATTAGTTCAAAATCAGCATGGGCCACATGAGACCTTATCTCAATACTAATAACCATAAATAAAAGTAGGAAACATTCTGGTTTTAAGGCAAACAGCAAAGACTACTCACGAACCCCCAGAGGATGTCAAGGACACACCTCTGAAGCCAGAGGGTGACTTGAGATACATGAAAACCAGCCTGTCATGTTCCTTCTTGAGGCAGCTGGGAGACAAGGTGAACACAACACCTTGTTGATCTCTAAGGTTGGCTTGGCAACTTTAACATATCCTCTCTTCTACTTTCAGAGAGTCCCCAGACCTACTTAAATGTAGTAGCCTTTCTTATCTTACAACACAAGGCCCTGGAGTTTAGACTTAACGTAATATTAAGTGACTATGTGACATTTTCTATTCATACAACCTTTGATTTTATTTATTTTTTACAGGTCCCCATGGACAGAAAGATAGTGCAAATGGTTTAATAACATTTTGCTGATGGAAAACCGAGTTTCCAAAAGGTTATGGCAAGACTAAGATTAAAGCCATAGCACTTAGAGGTGGGTCTTCTGAATTTGATTCCAACCATTGCTTTGAGATATCCTGTACACTACACTCTTCCCTTAACAGTATTCATATAAGAATTGTGTGTGTGTGCTTGCTACCTACATTTGTCGGATTTTGAAGATTTGATGCTAAATAAAAAGGATGCAGTCTTAGAAGAAACTTACAGATGAGACAAACCACTGGTTTACCCGATCTGGGTCCTGGTCCCACGTGGTCAATTATGGGTTCTAGAGAAGAAGAACGAGATGCCACGTCAGAACATGGAGCCTATATGTTAGAAGACAGGTGAGGTCAGGCGACTTTTCTAACTACCAGGTGTTTTGTACACCAGGTTGGCTTAGAACTCAAAAGCTCCCTGCTCCATCCTCTTGAGCATTTGTCTACCGACATGGACTATCATGGCCAAACATAACAACAGACTTTGTGACTCACCTTTCTAGACCAGACTTAGGTATAGGACAGTGTGATATCAGGATGTTGCCTTAGATAGATGAGGAAGAGGAGGATTAACTTTGAGAATTCCATTGGGGTAAGAGGGTAGGCACATCTAGTCACCCCCTTAGAATAAGAAATTTATTATTCTTTTTGTCTTGCTGAAGGTCATGTTCTTTAGGTTTTTAAGTGTGCAGACATGTTATACACATACATGCAATGCACCATCCATCACAGGTTTCCTCTCATCATTCTGCCTCCTCCACTCTCAACACAGGTCCTTCTATCCCCGAAAGCATCCTTTCTTTAGGATGCTCTGTTGTCCCGTGACGCATTCAGTTCCAAGCACGCACCCAAACACTGCCCACTTTCTGCCTAACTTGGTCGCAATAAGATGGTCTGGCCAGCTCAGCGCTCCACCCACAGTGCCTCTGACAGAGATGCCGGTGCTGCAGTAAAGGTATCTCAGTCAGTCACAGAGAATCACTTGCAATCCTAGCGCTCCGAAGGAAAATCTTGAGCTCAACCAGCCTGGATTACTTAGGGAAAATATGTCTCAAAAAGAAAAAAAAAAAAGTGTTATCTAAACCACCCACTTTTCAGAAGAAGAAACTGAGGTCTAGCCAAGGCTGTGACTTGTACTCTAGTAAACAGACAGCGGTAGGGCCGGAACCAGGAAGCTCACAGGCTCCTTTGCCCAGTTCTCTGGAATAGCACATTCCATGACAAAGATGAGTTTGGCCAAGGTCTGGAACCCATTGACTCTTTAGTCTACCTTCATCGTCTCCTGTTATCTTCAAGTGCCAGAAGGTTGTTCCTGTATCCTCCTGTTCAGCAAGCTGCCGGGGGCCACTTTCACCTGTGAGCAGGCTGGCTTATTGTTGAGTGGGACCCAGAGACAGCAGGAGGCATCGGTCGGCCTGTGGTGGTTGCCAAGCTTGGGGTTGGCACGGCAGGTCTGGAAAGTTGAGGCGCAGGAGAAACGCTTCTCAAATGGAGGGATGGTTGGGATGAAACACGTAACTCTGTCTCAGTCCCCCAAGTGCTGGGATTACAGGCTACCTGGCTGCCTAGTTTTCTCCCGTTGCTGTATTCAGGAAGCCTAGAATTAAAGAATTAAGTAAAACCTAAAATTAATCCAGGGTCAAGACCAGGAGGCAGCGACAGGAGAGTGTCAGAAACATCCCCCCTCCCCAATTTTATTAGTGACTTCTCCCCTCCCGCTCCCCTTAACCTGCCCCTTTCAGACCTGGACTGATATTTTCTGGGCAGCACCTCCACCTTTAGGCTTGGCCTACTTTTCACAATTTTACCCTCAGTGTATCCTCAGACAGGAGATGAAAAAGTGGGTGGATGGCTGCTGCTTTTCTGTACTGGGGATGGAAACTAAGGCCTCAACCTTTACCACTGAACTACTTCTCCAGGCCGCCCTTCATATTTTCACTTTATAGTTTGAGACATCTAACTTCGGTGCTTAGGCTGGCATTGAACGTTGTGTCCCCACGCAGTCCTGGAACTTAGAACCCTCCTCTTTAAGCTTCCCTAGCCGCTGGGATTACCTAGGCTTGCACTACCAGGTCCGGTTTCAGAAGTGGCAAAATCTGAATTGAAATTGTTGAGGAGTGGAGCGCAGCTGCTCTAGGCTCCAGCCTCTTAGCGCAGCTGGGTAAGCCTCCTAGGCCGCTAGTTTGGTCCTCGAACCATGAAATCCAACCTTTACGCAGGGCTGGGGCAGAAGTACTGGATAAATCACTGGTATGAGGTAGCGGTAGAGAGAAATGTAGAAAATGGGTAAAGAAAATCCGAAGGCGAACAGAATGCAGGTAGTGAAAGCGGGAACCGAGGAGATAGTGCAAGGTGGGGAAAGCACGAGAAAGGGAGAGAAAGGCTGAGCAGACGGGAGCTCCCGAGTGGGGTATGATGAAGAGAGGGCGAAAAAACTGCACCGCCAGACTCGCGCGGGCTGTGGGCGCAGGGGAGCCAGGAGGTCAGAGCAACCCCAGCTGTCAGCCGGGAACAAAGGCCGGGGAGAGAGCAGGACGGGGCGCCGGCAGCACGGGCCAATGAGTGGCTTCGACGCTGGCCCCGCCCTGCCAGAGCCCCGCCCCGCCCCGCCCTCGGCTGGGGACCTGGCTCTGAGGCCAGCGCGCCCGAGTAAGCGGGCGGGCGCGGGCCGGCTGCGACGGGGCTCCAGTCCGAAAGTTTCTCTGCCCTTCTGCTGCTCCTGGAGGCGGGACTTCAGCGCTGGGTCCAGCAGTTCTACAGAAAAAGAGACAGGGACACAACACAAAATATACCGAAAAAATCAAAATCTGCAGCCATTTGCAGCTAACCCCGAGGCGCAGGAAGACAGGCAGGTAAGGTGCGGGTACCCGGGGTCTTGTTCCTCCCCCGCGGAGTGTCTGCAGCCGTGCCCGCGGCCCAGACTCAAGGAAAGCTGCGCTTCCCGCAGCTTGCCACTTCGGGAGTGCGTCCGCTCGTCTGTCGGTCTTTGTCTGTCCGTGCCTGGGTCTGTCTAGGTGTCTTTGTTTCTGTCGGGCGCGCGGGGGCGGGGGCGGAGGTCTTCTCCCCTGTCACTGCGTGTGTTGCTGATTTGACCCCAGCCGGGTGAAATGAGGTGCGTCAGTCAATCATTCTGTCTTTGTCTCTGTCAGGTGTGTGTGTGTGTGTGTGTGTGTGTGAGGGGGGGGGTGTTTCCTCCAAAACCTGAATTTGATCTTGGAGACATGTGTTAGTTGACATGAACATGGAGGTAAAGAATTGCGAGGTGAGGAAGTGAGATCACAGGCACTGAAGCCTTAGAAAGAGGATCCAGCGGTTGGGGACTGGCTAGTGAACTTTACCTTGCGAGTGGAACTTTGGAGGTGCGTTGTGTCTCTCTGGGAGGAGAAACAATAAACTTGTACGGAGGGGCACACAGGCTTCAATTCACTCCTTCTCCACGGGGGTCAGATCCCTCCTACCCTGGCAGCTCAATCTGCTCTAGTTTAACTCAGTAGCAACAGGCAACCGAGATCCAGGTGATGATTTCTTTCCTGCTCCAAGGGGAAGCGATTAAACCCTGGGTCTTGAGAGTTGTCTGCTCGCCCTTGGGTTGCCAGGCCTGGGGAAAGTGCTGCAGACCTGTTGGCTTCGGTTCTCAATTTCCCAAGCACAGGGGATGTTTAGGAATCCAAGCACCTATGCTTTCTGCCTTCAGCCTTTCCACAAGGTGTTTGAGCTGCTGTTCAGCCAATAAGGTGCGTCAGGTTCTGGGCAGCCCTCAAGGGGACTTCACCACAGGCCCCCGCGTTTTCCTGGAAACACAATCTATTTAGAGTCTTAGAGCCCATCCACAGAAAGATAAGCCGCCTGCATGCAATTCTTCCAGCACACAGACCCTGGCTGCTGGTAGGGGCATTTGAGGGTTTGTAACCTGAGCTTCCTTCAAGTTCAAAAACAATTTTCTGCAGGAAGGCAAAGGGAAAATGGAGGTGTTTGAAAGGTATAAGCACATAGGTATTAGAGATAGCTTTTATAGGGTCAGAGTGTTCAAGGTTGGCACAGAGCAGTGTGTGGGCAGGAGTCTGTGGGCAGAGAATACACCCTAATCAGGCATGGTCCACACCTTGTATTTATCCAGCCCTTTCTTCTGACTATTTTCTGTGCATCATAGACATTATCTCATTTGCTATCTCCTTTATCCTCACAGCGTAACTACCAGGTTAGCATAAGATATGATTTACTCTGTGTCTGCCAGGTAAGAAACGGAGGCACCAAAAGGGAAGGGTCCCCCCAGGTCCCATAGCTAATGAGGTCCGAAGAGCAAGCACTCACCTGCTAGAGGTGAGAAGAGAAGTCTGTGGAAAAAAGAAAGAAGAGCATCTTTCTAGGGAGCTATATGCAAGCGGAAGGAGCAGACATTAGCTTTTGTTCAATATTTTATTTTTAATATTTTTAGCATTTCTAGCAATCTTGGCACACTCTGCAAGGCAAACCTGCTTTAACAATTCAGTTTGTGCACTTTTGTGACTGAAGGAGGTGTCCTTGTCTGTCTATCTACCTACAACGGTTGGCAGGCGCTGAGGCAGGAGAAGTGTGCTGGGTGGAGTGGGCTGGCTGTGCCAGTTCTCGGAGTGTGAGAGTGCACAATTTGCCATGCAGTGTTAAGAAGCCACATGTCTGCATGGATGGGGGAAGAAGTAGATGGGCTCAACTGGATAAAAATGGCCTGCTAATCTTGAAAACTTATTTTTATGCTTTTCACTTGTTTAACACTCGTTTTACAATTTTTTTGTTGGGTGCTACAAAATGCAAGGCTCTGGGACCTGCAGTGAAGCTGCGAATGAATATCACAGGCTGGAGATACAGTTTATTGAAAGGGTCCTTACTTAGCATACAGGGGCTCTGGGTATGAGTCTCAGCACTACACAAAACTTCATATGATGGCACAGGATTAGAAACAAACCTTGCCCAGGTGGTGGAGATAGAAGGATCAGAAACTCAAGGCCAGTCTTAATATAGGAAGTTCAGGATCAGCCTGGGCTACTGGAGACAATCTCAAAAGCAGAAAACAATTAAAAATATACAGTGAATAAAATAATGATAAATAACCAACTTTTAAGCAACTTATTGTCACCTCATGTTTGAACAATATTGTAATGCAGTTTAGCATCATCTACTGAGTGCTGTCAGACCGTTGCTTTAACCACAGGGATCTGCCACTGTAGGATAGCTCCTAACCCATCTCTTCCTTAGGTCCAGATCTCATAGCTTCTTCTGAGATATTGCTGCCATTTGGGACTGTTACCACAGCTTCCCAAGAATCACCGAGTTTCTGAGACAGAGGCCATACAGTGAATCCCAACTCAGGGTATAGTGTCTGGCTGCTTGGACTAGGCCCTTAGTAATTTCTTGTTTAGCAAAGTATTAGCAAAGAGGGCTGGTCGGGAGCTCTGGTTCCAGGGGCAGATTCCTACATGGCACACTTCACTGATGAAGACCCTCACTTACCTTGCTCTAAGGCTCTACCTAGACAAGCTTACTCCATCCCAGGCCCCGGTCCTAACAGTTTTCAGAAACAAGAAAACCCTCACTTTACCTACTGTGTCTTTTTGTTTATCAACCCGCAAAAGCAGATGTGGTAGGAGGAGAGGCTACACCTGACTGAGACCTGGGGTCTGGAGTTTGTACCTCCATAGCTTCAGGGCATGTAGTTGCAGAACAATGAGGAGGGGCTTTAAAAAAAAGTTTGCAACTACCTGGGGACTCTTCAGGGCATTTACATCTTAGTTCTTTGAGTTTACCTTTGAGTGGATCTTCTTGCTGCTGCAGTTGGAACACTCTGGAGCTTCTCTGAGGGCTGTGAACTGCAGCTGTTTGGCCATGTTTTTATCCAAGGCCAAGACTAGCTTCACGGGCCAATGCTCTTAGCATTGTCGTTCATTATGTATCATATTGCACTGGCCATATATGCTCTCAAGGGCCCTTGGTCATTTCCACTTCTCTTTGCAAGATCATTACGCAAGCTTGAAAACCTGCATTTCATTATTATTTGTTTGTTGAAGAATTGTTTTTGAGACAGGGTCTCGTGTAGCCCACGCTGGTCTGAAATCATTATGTAACTAGGAGTGACTTTGAATTTCTATTCCTTTCAGAGTACTTAGATGATCGGTATGTGCCTGAATTCAGTGCGAGGGGCCAAACCCAGGTCTTCATGCATGCTCTGCTAACTGAGCGATGCCCCCAGCCCTTATTTCACCGTTTGTTAAATGTCTTGTCTGGGTGAGGTGCTAGAGAAATGCGTGAGACTTTTGAAAAGGTGAACTAATCCTTGGAGGCTAAACTTGGTGATGGGAGTTGGAAAGAGAACCTAGCATTTATGAATTAGTGACAGTCGCATAGAAAATGGGGCCACACTGTCTTTAACACAACAATTGTCTCAAGATGGAAGTGAAGTGGAGATGCCAGAGAGGAGGCAGTCAGACGGGCGCTCAGTCTGGAAGATGAACCTGAGTGAGATGTAGAGAGTGGTAGAGCAATTATAGGTAAGGTCAGTCAGTAGTCCATGTTGGAGCTGAGAGCTGGAAAGAACCCTCTGGGGAACCTGCCACCTCGCTCCTGACAGGTGAAGGAAAAGTGGTGGGTACTGTCACCGGTAGGTTGGCAGCTTGGCGGGTGACTGTCTCCAGTAGGTCTTCAGCTTGGAGGGTGACTGTCACCAGTAGGCCTGCAGCTTGACAGGTGACTGTCTCCAGTAGGTCTTCAACTTGGCAGGTGACTGTCTGGTAGGTCTGCAGCTTGGCGGGCGACTGTCACCAGTATGTCTGCAGCTTGGCGGGTGACTGTCTCCGGTAGGTCTGCAGCTTGGCCCCCAGAGTTACTCCTCTAAGGTTTCAGGGAGTGGGCAAGAGACCTTGGCTAAACTCAGCCCTGACTGGGCTAGCCTGCCAGGCTCTTTAGCAGAGTCATTTCTGTAGGCTGCTGCTTTTTCTAGGTCCTTATTGCCACCTCCTTCAATAATTCCAGAGCACTGCTGGGGAGTCTGGAAGGTCTTACCAACCGGGAACCCAGAGGTAGACAACTGCCTCAGAAACAGCAGTTAATGTTAAGACTCACTGAGTGGTTATTTTTTTTTTGTTGTTGTTGTCTTTTGACTTATGGGATGGGATCTTATATAATCCCCAAAGCTGGCCCTGAACTGTCTATGGAACCAAGGATGACCTTGAAGTCCTGCTCCTCCTGGGCCAACTCTCAAGGCTAGGATTAGAGACCTGTGCCAGCACAGGTCTAGGTCTGCTTTTCAGTGCATTCAGACTCCCACAAACAATTATTTTATAAATCTTTTTTGGGCATAGAAGCTCCACTTTAAAAGAGAGCTTCCTGTTATTATCACTGAAAACCTCCCAGTTGCCCCATGCCGTTCCTTCACCCTCTGGCAGGTGAGGAAAAAGTTAAGGAATTCACCCAAGGTTTTCTTCTGAGTGTTGAACCCGAAACCAAACTGTCTTGAGTCCTCACTGCAGCACAGTTATGAGGTTATTGGAAATCACTGATGTTTGTTTTCTTCTCCTTTTGAGGGGAGGGAGTGGTACTGGATGTAGAACCCAGGGCCTTGCCGTACTAAGACTGGGCCTTAGCCCAGAGCTAGTCTCTCAGGCCCTGGCCTTATTAATTAAACAGATGTAGGCTCCCCAAGTTATTGCAAAAAAGCTTAATAAACAAAGAAAGAAATATCTTTAAAATCTGGGCCAGCAGGATGGTTTTGTAGGTAAAGGTACTTGCCACCAAGCCTGGCTACCTGGGTCCCACGTGGTGGAATGAGAGAATCGACTCCTCCTACAAGGTGCCCTTGGCCTCATAACACGTATGCCCCCAA